TCATGTTGAAGGTCCTTAATCTGTTCAAAGCTGAATTCTAAACTTGTTTTTAAGTCTTGTATGTCTTTATGAAGGACGTCAATCACAGACAGTTGGGTTTCCAGATGCAGTAGTTTTTAGCCTAGACTTAAAGACTGAGGCTGTGTTTGAGTACCAAACACTGACTGGAAGATTATTCCAAAGCTGGGGGGCTTTGTATGAGAAGGCTTTACCCCCTGATGTAACTTTATTAATTCTAGGTACTAAGAGTAAGCCAGCACCTTATGATCTAAATAGGCGTGATGGTTCATAATAATGTATAATAATAATAGTTCACTCAAGTACTGAGGGGCGAGGCCATTTAGAGCTTTTTTTTCAGTAAAAGAATTTTGTAATCAATGCAAAATTTAACTGGCAACCAGTGTAGGTTTGATAAACCTGGGCTGATATGGTCAAAGTTTCTGGTATTTGTGAAAATTGTGAATTTTCTTTAAACGAGTATTATGTTGGGGATCAATTGTATTATAAATTCTTGAAATTGAACATTTATTTATCATGGGTAATTCAAGAATATATTCCAGGGGAGTTTCTGGTGGCAGGGAAGGAAAAAAGAGCACTGATTATGCATAAAATTCAGAATTTGAAGATATCTGTAAAACAAAGAAGGTGATAATTGAAACTTGACGGAAAGATCAGAAAAAGAAGCAGACTCCATTAATGTATAGATCTGTAAATCTACTGATGCCCTTTTTATGCCAATCATTAAAGACCCGATCCATAGTAGCACGAATAAACAAATGATTTTTACAAATAGGACCAAGATTAGAAAATTCAGTGAGGCCAAAATGCCACCGAAATTGGGACCATATCTTTAAAGTGGATCTAACAACAGGGCAAGTTGCACAAGTCAAAGCGGGTAGAGGTAAATTAGCTGTTATTAGGGCTGAAAGTGAGGATGAAGTACAAGCATCGGCTTCCCAACTACACCAATTTAACTGTGGGGATTGATATTAAAGTACTACCTTCTGCACATTAGCTGTCCAATAGTATTGCATAAAGTTAGGAAGAGCCAAACCACCTTCTTTCCTTTGTCATTGTAATCTTGCCACACAAATGACAGTATAACACTATCCATTGTGCGGAAAAAAGCCTTATTCAGGAATACTGGAAGACACTGAAATAAAAACACAGTGAATACAGAGACTTTAGGAGGTGTATAACAAACAAATCCAAGATATAAATTTAGGGCCCAAACCAAACCATTTCAGTACTGCAAACATATATTCCCATTCCACACTATCAAATGCTTTTTCTGCGTCAAGCGATATAACAACCTCTGGCGATTCTGACGGAGAAGGCGAATGTATGATGCTAAGGAGCCTACGAATATTCGAAAACAAATAACGACCATGCATAAATCCTGTCTGATCTGCTGAGATTAATTTGAGAATTACCTTTTGTAACCTGGCAGCAAGTAGCTTTGCAAGAATCTTCAAATCTACATTCAATAAAGAAATGGGTCTGTGAGAACTACACTCATTTGGATCCTTTCCAGGCTTTAAAAGGAGTGTTATAGTGGCTTCTGTCAAAGTTTGTGGTAAGCAACCTGATTCCAAGGCGTGGTTATACAACTGTAAGAGAAGAGGTGCTAACTGATTGGAGAATGTTTTGTAAAACTCTATGGGATAACCATCCAGACCTGGGGCCTTACTACTTTGCATTTTAGAAATTGAATCTAGTATTTCCTCAATTTGTATTGATTCATCTAACTGTGTTTGAAGTGCAAAATCGAGCTTAGGAACATCCAGTCCTTCCAAGAATTTAGTCATTTCTGAATAATCATTTGAAGCTTCTGAGGAGTAAAGTTCTTATAATATTCTTTGAAGGCACTATTTATCTGTATAGGGTCATTTGTGAGGTTACCATTCGTAGTGCGAATCTGTGGTATAAGCTGAGCAGCTGCTCTATTTTTAATTTGTCATGCTAAAAGTTGGCTTGCTTTCTTTCCATTTTCATATATACATATCTACACAATTTAAGAAGGGCTTGTTTTGCTTTATCAGTAGACAGCAGATTATACTGTGATTGATGTTTTATCTTTTCTTTGTATAAATGTGGGGAAGAACGTTGAATATTGCTGATCTACCTTAGATATATCATTAATTGTTGTTGTAATATTTTGGTTTTTTTTTAAGCAGTGCAGAATAGGCAATAATTTCTCCTCTAATCACTACTTTCAAAGTCTCCTATAAAACTGAAGGAGAGATTGATTCAGTTTTATTTTCTAGGATAAAATGTATAAATTTTAAAATAGCAGTTGACACTGATGAGCAGAAGTTTTGGTCTGATAGTAACATGGTATTCAGTCTCCATGGAGGTTGTGTCTTATGATGTGAGGGGAACATTAAATCAAAGGAAACAGGAGCGTGATCGGATTCTACTATGGCTTGATATTCTATGCTATTAATAAAGGAAATAAGAGTTTTGTCAACAAAAAAGTAATCTGTTCTGGAGTAAGCATGGTGGACATGTGGGGAAAAAAAAGAAAAAGCCCTTTTATCTGGATAAAAGAAACGCCAAAGGTCAGTGCAGCCAATTTGAGACAAAAACGATGAGAAAGTTTATGCAAATTTTGAGATGTTAAATGTTTTAGAATTACAGCGGTCCAACACAGGGTTCAACACAGTTTGGGTCACCTCCTTTATAGGAGTACTGGAGTATGGAAAAGCAAACCAGCCACTATAATAAATCTCCCCTGAGGATCAGAGACAGTGTTTTGGGCAGAAAAAAAAGTACCTTTTTGTGAAACAGAATAGCAGTACCTCAGTTTCTTGCATTGAAATTGGAATGAAAAATTTGGCCAATTGATATCCTGGCTCTTTCAAGAGGTCAATTTAAGCTCTTAACATTCCAGCTAACTAAGCGAATAGCGCCCCCTTCTGACTTTGTCTCAGTATTTACTCTGCCATATGTACTTACTAACATATAAACAAAAATGATTCATCGACCCTAAGAACATGTAAGGCTGCAAAGAAGAGTTCACATAATTAGCATTGTCCTGACCATGAAGTAACATATAAGACCTAACTCCAAACCAAATGAAAAAATAATTAGAAGAGAACAATTTAACAAAATTAACCATTGCCTGTGCTAACCTCCTACTGTTTGGTCAACTGCAGGCTATGTGTCACCTAACTATACTCCAAGACTTCCAATATTTTTTTACACACCAAACAATTCACAGCGGAGGAGGCCATTGAAAAGATAACAAATCTTGACGTCTATAACACCCAACTTATTTACAAACTTTGCAAAATTTGCATCAACAAGAAAACTGTCCAACTCAAATAGCACGGCTACAAGGCGAACCAGGTGCCTTCCGTGTCACTCTAAACAACTCCAAACATGTACTCATATTACACGTTGCAAAGTTAAGTCAATGTTCCAGTGGACTCAGATTATACCTGTGTGAATCAGCAATCTCTCTGATTAAACGATAAAATGTTCTTACTGTCCTGGAGAGATCCGCTTATGATAGAATTTCAAAGTTTCCTCTGGGCTGCCAAAGGTGAGAGTCTCGTTGTTGTAGTTTATTCGCTGTCGAACTGGGTACAGAAGCTGAAAACGAACGCCTTTCTTGAATAGCATGCGTTTTATGTCTTTGTAGGCTGCTCATTTTCTCGATAAAACAACACTCAGGTCAGGGTAGACTCTCAGCTTGTTTCCTGTATAGGTTAGACTGTGTTCTCTCGCCCATCTAAGCACCTTCTCTTTCTCCCTGTATCTGTGAAAGCACACCACCAAAGGTCTGGGCGGTCGGTCTGCTTTCGGTTTTATATATATGTGTATACATACATACATGTTTGTCATATTTAATGTTATTTGTCTGTTAAAATGTGTTTCAGGGCCTGATTTTGAGGGAAAGCGGGAAAGTGCACTTTGGGACACTGCAGTTTTGTCGCCTTTTTCATTTTGTTCCACCCCTCCCCCACTCCCTCAGCTCAGACATAGGCGTCGACCGCATGGCTAGCGTTTCATGTGACTGCATTTGAGTCGTTTCTTACACGTATTTAGCAGTACATTTCTTATTATCAGCACTTAACTCAGAGTCTAAGTCAATCAGAGGACTTTTTCCATGGACATTTAAACGGACGTTAATGCAGGATCTGAACGGTGGTTTTCTAAATTGGATTACTGACTGGATCTTCACTAAGATCCAGTCAGTAATCACTCTGGACGCACAGGGTAAGTCCTGATGGTCAACATGATGTGTGAATTGCGTTGCTGTTTTAACCCTTTTGTTGCCATATAAGGGCTAAAGCAGAGAGGTTTTACAGTGGAGGTGTTTGGAGTTGTATTTCTGGGTTGTGGGATGTTAGAGCTGGTTTCTCTCACTCTGGCTAGTGATGGCAGGTTCTTCTGAGTGATCTGTTATGTAAATCATGTCGTTATTTTTAACCCTTTGTTTACAATGTGATGGCTAAAAGCAGAGATGTAATATAACAGTAGCAAGTGGATTTTGGGTGATTTAGAGCTGGATTGCTGGCTGATGGATGGCCACAGGTGGATGAAATCACTCTGGATTGTGAGGGCAAAGTCTGATGTGATCTGATGTGTGAATCACGTCGCTGTTTTAACCCTTTGTTGGAATGCGAAGGCCAAAAAGCAGAGCAATAATATCAGGATTTTGGGTGATTTTCTGAGCCGTATTACTCACGGATGCTGCTGTCACGGCTTGATGACGTTGTGCTAACTAGTTAGGGGCGGGTCTGCTGAATGGTCTGATATGTGTTTCATGTCTGTAGCTTAACCGTTCTGAACTTATGAAAAGTAGAATTTACCTATGGTTTTGCCCTTTGAAGATAGGACTGGACACCCCTGTGCTAGGCGAAGGTCAATGTTACCAGTGTTACCCTTTATCTTCCCTTCCCTTCATAGTCATGCCATGAAAAGGGGAAAACAACAAAGGGGAAGGCTATTTTCTTTGAACATCCATCTCAAATTAAATTTTTGTGTTACAGACCAAGTATAAACAGGAGGAAAAGAATGAAATTTCCAGCAGCCACTATTCTCTGATGCCAGAGACGTTGGAGACCCGGCATGCTAAAGATGTCCGTCAGCTTCATAGTGATGTGAGTGTGAATAACTCTCTCTTACACATGCTTGCATGCGTAAACACACATTTTTCATTCCATACATATTTTCTGTAGCAGTGGGTGCCATTCTTAAAAACATCCTAAACATTTCAGTAGACCGAAAATATAAATGCATTCTGTAATGTTGACGGTAAATCTTAGTTTATTCTGAAGGGCACACTTGTGAGTTGCATAAATCTAAACAGCTACAGTTACAGCAGCAATTTCCTCAGAATCGCAAAAAAATTGAGTATCATAAACATGGCTGGATGAAGAGAAGGAAAGAAGGAATGAACAAACAAACGAGCAAAGAAATGACCAACGAACAAATGAACATGCCTGGTGGGAGTGTCTCCAGTGGGAGCAGGGAGCCTTAGAGCCTGAACACTGTGGGAGTCAGAATCCAGCTTTGTCATACATTTACTGTTTGACACTGTATTTAGGGAGAAAATTAAATCAAAAAAAGAAATTACAGTTATTTGGCACACAGCCATACACATATTTCTGGTTTGTGTCATTATCTTTACAATAATGAGGCACCTTGTGTTCATGTGTATTTGTGTATTATTTAGGTAAAGTACAAGGAAGCAGGGAAAAAGGGTACAACCACCTCTCTCTACTCTCTACTACCTGAGACTCTTGAGACTCAGCACGCCAAAGAAATGTCCATGCTTCAAAGTGACGTAAGGATATAGCAACATACTAAAAATTCTAAATTTACACTCCCTGGCCATTAAGGACACCTACCTTGCATCTACTCTCTTTGTATATTTTTTCAGGTCCATTTGCCAGATAGGTACACTTTGTAGTTCTACAATTTCATAATGTAGTCCATCTGTTGTTCTCTATAATAAGTCAGCACCCTTTCACCCTAATATTCAATGTTCAGGGCCCCCAAAGAACCACCACAGAGCAGGTATTATTTGCGTGGTGGATCATTCTCAGCACTTCAGTGACACCGATGTGGCAGTGGTGTTAGTGGATGTTGTGCTGGCAAGAGTGGATCAGACACTCTTACAGTGGTTTGTGTGTGTGTGTATACATATACATACTGTTGACTTCTGCTGGCAAGCGTTGGTTTTTGAAGCAAACAGGAGTGGAGACTTGAGGAAAATGAAGTTTAATGAACGTGCGTCTTCTCAACCAAACAAGTCTAATGAAGCTTACACACTGATAAACTTATAGTCACGAAATGTAAACCACACTCTCAGTTGTCTCTTTGTCTCAACGAACCCCCGGAACCCCCTACGGAATGGACAACAGCCTCTACCTTTGTAATTAAAATAGAGGTGTTGAGGCCCACCCTAGGAACCAGGATGTCTCCGAGATATCACCATCAGCAAATGGCATTGCTAGATTGAGGAGCTATAGATAACCAGATGTGAGATAGGCTAACCATTGGAGGTCGTTAAATGACAAAGCACTGCTCTCCACAGCCCCCACACATCACCCAAGAGAGACATACAAAATGCAAATGAGATTAATACAAAAAGGCAAGGGAAAAAACAGGAAAAAGGTTTGAGATGTTACAATAAAGAATAAAATAAAGTAAAATAATATTTAACAATATACACACACACACCACTGTAAGAGTGTCTGATCCACTCTTATCAGCACAACATCCACTAACACCACTGCCACTCATGACTGTTCTAAGAAAGCTTTGTATCTCATTTTTTCATAATTTGAAAATTCCAGCCTCTTATTATAGTACCTTAAATTCAAAGTTACGTTTTTCTGTCTGTATAGTTTTTTTTACATAGGTGGGTGGGTATGTAGGTGGGTAGGTGGGTAGGTAGGTAGGTAGTTAGATAGATAGATCTTTGTTGATCCCGAAGGGAAATTGCAGTGTTTCAGTAGCCAGACATACAACTGCACATAAACTTACATATGCAGAATACTATGCAGAAAAATAGAAATAAATTTAGACATAAGTTAAAGTACAAGAGAAATAAAATAAAAGTATATCTATTTGCATACTTACATGGCATATGGGACAGATTTGTTGTATTTACATGACAGCAGGCACTGAGTGGTATGAGGTAAACTAAAAGCACATATTATAGACATAACCAACTCTGAGTTGCATCAATATTACAGTGTAAAGTGCATAGTGAAAGTGTCATTACAGTAGTAGTTATGATATATTGCACAGTGTGTATTAACAGGAGAGGTGATATAGTGATGTGGTTTAGCACAGTTCAGACAACAGATCAGTACCATCTCTGCAGTAAGGAGACTCGTTGTAGAGCCTTATAGCAGAGGGTAAGAAAGATCTCACATGGCGCTCTTTAACACAGCGTAGCTGTAACAGTCGGCCACTGAATGTGCTTCTCTGTTTATACAGTGTAACATGCAGAGGGTGTGAGGTGTTATCCAATATGGCTAATAGCTTGTTGAGCGCCCTCTGTTCTGCCACAACCTTCAAAGAGTCCAGCTTGACTCCTACAACAGAGCCAGCCTTCCTGATAAGTTTGTTTATTTTGTTCAGAGCACTTTTGTTAATGCTGCTGCCCCAGCACACAACAGCATAGAATAAAGCACTCGCTAGAACAGACTGGTAGATGTCCACAGGAGCTTAGTGCACACACCAAAAGACCTCAGCCTCCTCAGGAAGTAGAGACGGCTTTGGCCTCTCTTGTGTACTGCGCGAGTGTTACAGCTCCAGTCCAGCTTGTTGTCCAAGTGCACACCCAGATATTTGTAGGTCCCAACCACCTTCACATCAACTCCATCAATGGTGACTGGTGACAAGGCAGGTTTGGACTTCCTAAAGTCCAGCACCGTCTCCTTAGTCTTACTGATGTTTAGCTGCAGCTGGTTCAGCTTACACCAGTCAACAACGAAGTCCTTCACCAGCTTCCTGTATTCCTCCTCCTGTCCATTCCTCATGCACCCCACAATGGCTGTGTCATCTGAGAATTTCTGCAGATGACACGACTCTGTGTTGTACCTGAAGTCAGAGGTGTACAGATTGATCAGGAATGGAGCTAACACAGTCCCCTGGGGTGCCCCAACACTGCACACAGCCATGTCTGAGGCACAGCTCTGCAGTCGCACATACTGGGATCGTCCAGTCAGATAGTCCATTATCCATGAAATGATGGATTCATCCACCTGCATCAGCCGTAGCTTCTCCCCTAACAGCACAGGCTGTATGGTGTTGAATGCACTGGAGAAATCGAAGAACATGATCCTCACAGTGCTGCCTGATGTGTCCAGGTGAGAGTACGTTCTGTCCAGCAGGTAGATAACTGCATCATCTACTCCAATGCCATCCTGGTATGCGAACTGCAGAGGGTCAAGAGCTGTTCTGACCAGAGGTCTCAGATGAGTTAGCATCAGCCTCTCGAGTGTCTTCATTAAGTGGGATGTCAGTGCAACCGGGCAATAATTATTCAGTGCTGTCGGTTGCCTTTTCTTGGGGACAGGAACCACACAAGGTTTTCCACATAACTGGGACTCTCTTCAGGCTGCAGCTCAGATTAAAGATGTGCTGAAGAATTCCACACAGCTGCTCTGCACACAGTTTCAGCACCCTAGGTTCAATGCCATCAGGACCCACTGCTTTGCTCTGCTTGATTTTTTTCAAGTCAGTCTTCTCCTGATTATAATATTAATGTATCATCGCAGGACATTCCAGTTGTGGGGGGTGGGTGAGAGGTGTCCATTGCTCTTTTCTTCTGGTTCAGCAGAGACTTTAAGTCACTGGTGACCCAGGGTTTGTTGTTCGGAAAGCGTTGGACAGTCCTGGAGGGTACAACACACAGACGTTGATGTAGTCAGTGATGCATGATGCGTGATGTTATTGCATCAATGTCCTCACCATGTGGTTCACACAGGACATCCCAGTGTGTGGCCTCAAGACAGCCCCTCAGTGATTCTACAGCCTCAGGTGACCACTTCCTCACTGTCCTTGTGGTCACTGCCTGTCTCTGAACCAGGGGTTTATACCATGAGTTGAGGTGAACCAGGTTATGGCCTGAACGACCCAGTGGGGGGAGAGCTGTGGATTTATATGCTTCTTTGACATTGGCATACAGCAGTTCCAAAGTCTTGTTCTCTCTCATCTTGCAGTCCACAAACTGGCTGAAAGTGGGCAGACATGATGAGAGGGTAACATGATCGAAATCTCCAGACACTGCAATGAATGCACTAGGGCTCTCGTTTTGCACCCTCGCAATGGTTGAGTGGATGATGTCACACGCGGCATCCGCATTAGCAGAAGGTGGAATGTACACAGCACAAAGAATGGCGTGAGAAAACTTGTGAGGGAGATAGTACGGACGCATAGCTACAACACACCGTCTGTTATTCACGAACACAGCCAGCCCTCCTCCCTTCTTCTTACCAGTTTGTTTGTGGTCTCTGTCCATCCTCACAGTAGTACAACCATTCAGATGAACATGAGAGTCAGGTACGCACGGGCTCAGTCATGACTCTGTGAAGCACAAAATGCTGCATTCCTGGTATTCCCATTGTGTCCATGTTAGAGCAGACAGTTCCATTTTGTTAGCGAGTGACCGTACGTTCCCCATAATTATTGCAGGAAGATTTGGTTTGTATCTCCGCTTCTTTTCCCGCTGTTTCTCTCCCGCTCTGCGGCCCCGGTAAGGACATATCAGCTCGGCTGGAATCACCGGCCGCTGCAATGTAAACAAAGGCGCCGGCTTCCACAGCGCGATCAGCTGATTCCTTGTGTAGACAAAGCGAGGGCGCGCGGTGCAGTTATAGTCTGAAAGTTCCGTTAAATGATCCATTGAAAATTCAGTAAAAGTTTTAAAAAGTTGTGTAGCAACTTTAGGCCATGCCTCAATATCCAGAAAAGAAAGAAAGTCGGCAAAAAGACGCTATTGAGCGGCGCCGGAAGGGGAGTAAAAATAGGTTTTGTTTCATTTTATATATATATATATATATATATGTTAGGGATGCACCAAGATTTTGATTGTCTAAAATGGTCAAAAATGGCACTTTTGCTGAAAAAAAAAACATTAGAAGTGTCAACATCTAACGTGACACATGCTTTGAATGGTAACTCAGCACAGACCAGCACAGACGCAGCAGATCAACAAAAAAAATCCTAACAGTCTGCTACAGCTGCATTCAGTACAGCATTTAGCTTACATGCTTTTTAGTATTAAAGGGCCCATATGATGGAAAACAAATTTTTTCTCACTTTCTTAATTCTCAGATTGTTGCAATATGTAAACATTGGTAAAGTTTCAAAATATACCATTCACTCCCCACTTCCTAAAGTCCTTGGAAATATGGAAACAAAACTGCAAAAACAGCCCATTATGAATTCACTGTATCTGTGATGTTACAACAATCAGCACATTTACGTACTGTATATCCACCTAGTTTAGCCTATAAAAGTTTAGCCATGCCCATTGACACTGAATTTATAAGTGCGTTTCAGCCCAGATTGCTGGAATAGGCACAATACAGGACAATCAGAACAGAGCTTATTTACATGTTTCAGTCTTAAAGGCACAGCACCAAAAACAGCCTGTTTACTTTTAGAGGAACAGCTTACAAGATTTACCACTTAAACCAGATGCAGTTGATCAGTTGTTTGATGCCAAAATTTTTTCTTTAGTTAGAACCGGAGCTACGAGGCTAATATGGCTAACAAACATAGTCCATAGTCTCCCAAACAGTTTCCACAAATATTGCCCAAAATTTCCCTCAACCTGCTGAAACTGCATCCAGGTCTTAATTCAGATTGTGTAGACAAGTCGATGTGGTTTAGTGCATAGTATGACTTACTATGAACTATAAAAACAAAACCTGTGCAGCTAAAAGAAGGGTCAGCCATTTAGGATAGCTGGAATCACTTCTTTCCTGAGCACAATTTGGTATGATTCTGCACAAGACTACCAAAAGCTGAGGGAATTCACAATACAGATGCGCCCTAGGGTAACGCAGATAGAGAAGCTAAGTGATTGTACTCAGAAAATCAATACAATGTCTGATTACGAATTTGTGGACCAGATTTTTCTGCACAAATTAGCCTCGGCCATATGAGCCTGAAAGTACACTTGATATTAGTTGTATGCCTGACTCACAAGTGACTCCCTGGATCCACCTCTGAGTAAGAAGCTAAAGTTAGCCTCTTATTTGATTCCACCTTAAATAGTGCAGCAGTTGCATGTTACTGCCGCACAATTTATTGCTTTATTGCTGTAAGGCTATTTGAATACAGAATACATGCTTTTACTGCAGATTGTTCTGTTTATCACTCTATTCATCTCTCTGTTTTGAGTATTTTTGTTGTTTTTGTTTTATTTTCCTTAGATCAAGTATAAAGAGAACGGGAAGAAGATTCTTTCCTCTAGTATCTACTCTCAGCTGCCAGAGACCACTGAGACTCAGTTTGTTAAAGCAGTATCTGAACTACAGAGTAAGGTAAGAAATTTTGGGCACTTACAATGGAAACATTTAAATTTATATATAATAGATATAGTTTTATAAAAGATTACTTAATTTAATGATTAATGATGAATAATTTCTTGATCCATGATAGGAGTATTAATGTATTAACATTATCTTAATTGTTATAAAGTATTAACACTATTTAATACTTTACAAAACTTCAAAAAAAGATATGGTAACCACTTTTTACTATTAGAAATGGTCCATAGACCATTAACCTAAAATTGATTTAGGAGCAGATTTATTTTATTTATAAGTTTTATAGGGTTATTTCTGAGATGGTTTGTCTTAGTAAGTAGTAAGTGCCTCTGGATTTATCATGTACTTCTTTATTTTGTACTCTGTTTTGTCATGACGTAGACACTGTGAGCCTTAACATAAGAACAAAAGACTCAAAATGTAATTAAGCCCATTCATATTAATTTAATTGCCACTCAGTAGCCACACTTGGCTTCAGGTGTACGAATAGCCCAATACAGCAAACAAACTATTTAACCACAGGAACCTGCACACAGTGCCACCCTGCCTCCTTGTCTGTTGAAAAGGAAAAAGTAGCCTTATCCCCTACAGTGGCTAGCTGCGCTTATAATGGTTATAATTTTACAATATTGTTACGTCTAGGTAGATTGCAACAAAACAATGCCCCCCACTTCCACCCCAACCTTACCATTTCTGCAGAAAAAAAGAAAAGAATACACAAACATGCCCTAGCTCCCTAATGTAAACAAAGTCCCAAAAAGAAATAGTGTACACCCCAACAGCTTCCAGACGTTTGTTACTCAAGCACAAGGACTCAATATATCATCATGACTAGATAGAGTTGGATAGAGGGTATCACAGATAGCACAACTAAGTTAATACACAGAGAGAAGGCCAGAACTACTCCATAGCAAACTCTCTCTCAGTCTGACTGGTGGAAGTGTTGAGAGGAAGGAAGAGGAGCTTCAAGGACTCGACTCCTGTAGACATTCAGCTAATAAAGCTAGTGTCTCTTTCAGTTGTGCTGTAGTTCAGCTGATTTTAATTTATTTTAGAGAAAAACAAATGTGTGTTCGATTCCATTCCACTCTTCCTGCAGTGCACAGCACTAGCACATGTTCCTCTCACATACACTTCTAACTTATAGAGTAGATCGAAATTAGGTGCAGCAAGGACTGGTGAACAGTAAAAGGCTAGAAAAGCTCTGTTAGATAGTATCCTGTCATCTTTAGAAGTCGTCTTGACTTGTGCCGGGTTGTAGGTGCAAAAAGCTCCAAGATACCAGAGATCTTGGCACTCACAGGACACATTTGACTTTGACCTAGATACTGCTCAACCTAGATAATGATCACAGCTTTTGCAATGTTCGCATTTTGCTAAGTTCAAGGTAAGTGATGTGGCTTGTAGATGATCACTTTAGAAAGAGTTTGTAAATGGCTGGCCCGAGTAGCTGAGTAAACAGTCACATCATCAAAATAAGCCTAACAATTTTTCACACCAGGGACTACACATCATATATTGTAGAAATTTATCGGGTATCTAGACTTTCCAATACTCTTAAAGTAATCAGGCCACCTTGTTAATGCAAGAGTCCACCTTGTTAATGCAATCTTCCATCTTGGGAAATGAAAATATATCAGGTTTAGTAACTGAATTAACTTTCCTATAATCAGTACAGAAGCACAAACTCCCTTCGATCTTTGGCACCAATATACAGGAAGATCCCCATAAACTCACACTGGGTACAGCAAAACCATTTTCCAGTAAATACTCAACTTTATGCATTCAACACTTTTTAGTGAGATTAATGAAAAGTGTTCTGTTTGATTAGAACATGATTACCAACATCAGTGCCATAATGCAAAGCAGAAGTCTGGGTTGGAACACCAGAAAACAAAGGCAATTGCTTTGATTCAGTTTCATAAGGACCAAAGAACTTAGCCTGCAGTGTAGACCCCGATACAGGCAAAAATCTAAACATTTTCAGATGTTTTTAAAATGGCTATTTGTCATTTCATTTTAGTCATTATTCTGGTATTTCATGGCCATATCTACAACCCCATTTCCAAAAAAGTTGAGACACTGTGAAAAATGTAAATTAAAAACTAAATGCTATGATGTGCAAATCATTTAAACCCTATATTTAATTAAAAATGCTTCAAAGACTACATATCAAATGTTGAAACTGAGAAATTGTTTCTTTTTTATGCCCATTTTGTAATTGATGCCAACAACACATTTAAAAAAAGTTGGGATAGGGGCATCAAAAGGCTGGTAAAGTTGTTTAATGCTTAAAAACACACCTGGTGGTTAATTGGCAACAGGTCAGTAACATGATTGGGTATAAAAAGAACACCCCAGAGAGACTGACTCCTTCAGAAATAAAGAGGGCGAGAGATTCACCACTCTGTGTAAGACTGCATGATCAAATAGCACAGCAATTCAAGAATATTTTTTCTTAACATAAAATAGCAAAAGACTTCTGCTTTTCATCATCTACGGTACTTAATAACATTAAAAGATTTAGAGAATCTGGAAAAAACTCTGTATGCAAGGGACAAGGCCAAAAAACGGTATTTGCTGGCCATGATCTTTGGGCCCTCAGACAGCACTGCATTAAAAACAAACATGATTCTGTAGTGGAAATCACTACATGGGCTCAAACACTTCTGAAAACCACTGTCTATGAAAACAGTTTGGCGCTGCATCCACAAATTCTAATTAAAACTCTTAAATGCAAAGAAGAAACTGTACAGAAACAGAATCCAAAAATGCTGCCACCTTCTCTGGGTCCAAGCTCATTTAAAATGGACTGAGGTGAAGTGGAAAAGTGTTCTGTGGTCAGACAAATCAACATTTGATATTCTTTTTAGAAATCATGGACATAGTGTCCTCCGGAGACCAGTGACCACTCCGCTTGTTATCAGTGCACAGCTCAAAAGCCAGTATTCACGATGGTATAGGGGTGCATGAGTGCACATAGCAAAGGTGACGTGCACATCTGTGAAGGCACCATTAATGCTGAACAATATATACATGTTTTGGCAAAATATACTGCCATCCAGATGACATCTTTTTCAGGGAAGGCCTTGATTATTTCAGCAAGACAATGCCAAACCACATTCTGCATGTATTACAACAGCATGGCTCCGTATTAAAAGAGTTCTGCCTGCAGTCCAGACCTGTCACCCACTAATAACTTTTGGAACATTATAAAATGAAAAATACGACAAAGGAGACCCTGAACTGCTCAGCAGCTGAAATCCTATGTTAAGCTAAAATGTGAAAACTTCTAAAACTACAGCAGTCGGTTTCCACAAGTCCCAAACGCTTACAGAGTGTTGTTAAAAGAAGAGGTGATGCAGCATAGTGGGAAACGTCCCCGTCCCAACTGTTTTGGAATGTGTTGTTGGCATCAAATTCAAAATGGGCATATATTTTTCAAAAAACAATAAAAGTTCTATTTCAACATTTGATTTGTTGTCTTTGTATTATTTTTAAATGAAATATAGGGTTTAAATGATTTGCACATCATTGAATTTTGTTTGTTTTTACATTTTGCACAGCGTCCAGAGTTTTTTGGAAATGGGGTTGTAAAATGGAAAAGCTAATAGAGAAAAGAAAATCCAAGCTTCACTTTGGCTTTGCATTTTCTTCATGAAATGCATTATACTTGTCAAAACTAAAATCAAAATACAGTGTTTACGTTCTGATTTCTTTTTCATAACAATAGCCTGCATATCTGAAAAATGAAAATACAAAATGGATAAATCAACAGCATAGTGACAGTTTGCGATCAAGTTTTCGGCGTGGACGTTTAAGTGTCAGAATAAAAAGGCAAATGTAAACATAGGCACCATCTGCTGGAGATTTACTTTTCATTTCCCACTTTGCTTTTTCATTTTCAAGTTGACCAACATGTAAATATATGTTAATTAACACTAGGTGGGCCTACGATGTACATTCTAGGACATCCTCAGACCTCAGCCTCAGGATAACCATCGTCTTGTCTAAGATCTGGTGTCTGATGACCAAATGCCGTCAGACCAAACACCCTCAGAAAAAAGGTATCAGATCAAACACAGTCACACAAAATTGCCTCATTCATCAGAAGTGGTGGAGACCCACGCAGCTGACAACAGCTGACAACGCACCCTCTGGTTTGTTGTAGCGGTTTGTGTGGAGAGAGGTGAGCCATACCTGATTTCATTTACCCTCACAACACTTTGCAAATGTTACACTGGCATTTATATCTATAATACACAATAGTTTAAGTTATATGACCCAGTATATGCTCAACCAAGCTTGCGTTTGGTCTGATACCTTTTTTCTGAGGCCGTTTGGTCTGATGAAGTTTAGTCTGATGTTCAGTTACACCAGATCTGAGACATGACAGTAGTTGTTCTCACGCTGAGGTCTGAGCATGTCCTAAAAATGTACACCGTAGCCCCGCCTAGTGTTAATTAACATATATTTGCATGTTGGTTAACTTGAAAACAAAAAAGCAAAGTGGGAAATGAAAAGTAAATCTCCAGCAGGTGGCGCATGTGTTCATTTGCATTTGCCATTTGATTGACACTTAAAATGCGTTCATGCCGAAAACTGAATCGCAAACTGTGACTTTGCTGTTGATTTATCCATTTGTCACTTTCATTTTGTCAGAAACGCAGCCTATGAATGCTATGAATGCCATGCTATGAAAAAGAAATAAGAACCTTAAAATTGCATTTTGATTTTAGTTTTGACATGCAGTTCATGACGAAAAAGCAAAGCCAAAGTGAAGCTTGGAATTTCGTTTCTCTGTAGCTTTTCCATTTCAGATATGGCCATAAAATACCGATATAATGACTAAAATGAAATGACAAATACCTGTTTTAAATGTATTTTATTTTTGTCGCAAGTGACTCATGCTTATGTGAAAAGTTAAATTGCAAATGTAGGTATTTCATTTTCAATTTTGGCAAGATATTTGCACAGATATTTGGAAAAAAATG